TGTATATATATATATATATAAATATATAAAATTCAATTAATTCAATAAGTTTCTCGTAAAAATAAATAACTCTTGGTCTATATTTATATCCTACTTTTATCAAATGTGCAAATTTAACATATTGCTTTTTTAGTTCAAAAGTGACATAAGAAAAATTAGATTTCCCAGAAAAAAAAAACTATTTTCCAACTTGATAAAAAGTTATTGATTAATTAAATAATCTTAGTAGAGAGAAAGAATGTATTCTTAATATAATGAAATCTCATTTGTCATTTTCATTTTACAATCTTTAAAAAATCATCTTTTTAAATTGTGACGATTTTGAGGATTTAGAGAAACAATCTATTATGAATTATAATGATTTTGGTTATTTTTTAATAAGGTTCATTTTTTATATTTGATAGAATAATATGTTTAATAGAAGATTTATTTAATTAATTCATGCTACTAACTTGAAAATTATTGATTTTTGAATTGTATCACTTTTAAAGTAAGAGATACAATCATGACATATACTGTAGAATCTCAAAAATAGACGAAAAATATGATGCGCATTTTATCGATAAAAGTGAGATATGAATACGGATCTAAGGTATTCATAGTCGGATCTTATATTTAAGTCTGTCATGATCTTATATTTAAATCTGTCATGAACCAATCAGAAAGCATTAGCATCTTAAGACGATCTTAAAATAAGAACTATGAATACCGTCCTAAAAAATCCATCATTTAGATGATTTATATAAATCTATGGACACAAAAAAGTTGAATTCAAATTATTCCAGAAAAATCAGCTGTAAAAGAATGAACAGAGACGTTGCAAGTATATGGAACATATGTACGCTGCGAGAGAAGTTGCAAAATTTTTCTACCATCGTGGGAAAGTTCTCATGGGCGCGTACTCGTCTTTCATTAACGGACGAACGTAGAGACAAACCGTCACTCGCAATTATCTACAAAATAGCCGAGTTTTTTATTGACCACCGTCTTTCAGTAGACTTATAACTGTGAGTGGGAATTATTGCCTGTAGACGTGAGTAAGAATTCGAAAGCGCAACGACAAAGGTAAAACTGTAAAGGAGTTAAAGGTTGACCATTTTTTAGAAATGTCAACGTCGTGACGCTGTACCGTGCGTCTTCTCATCAGCCTTCTCGGCTTTTTTTCTCCTTTTTCCCATTCTCATCGAAATTACATACGAGAATCGGTGATTTTTCCCAGTCAAAGCTGTCTTTACCGGACGCGTACGCTTATTCTTCTAATATAATATAAAAACGTTAAAATCGTTTTATCCATTCGACAACGTAATCTATAAAAAGATTTGTGAGAAACTATTATCGTCTCTGTAATCTTCTTTTTAAGATGATGTAATTTATATTAATTTTGAGAATATTATTTTATATTAATTAGAAGGAAATTATTAAGGAATATTAACTCCACTTTATTGAACGTCTTTGTAATAAAGAGCAGAAAACAGTCACATCAGACAAAAAATTATAAAATTATTATCAATTAGACGCTACTCTCATATGTAATTTTTCTAATAATAATTGTCCTAAATATATATCTATTAGAATCAAATTGGAAGGATGTTATTATAATTGAAGATTACAGCCCATACAAATGCACATATGTCTGTATTTGAGTAGGTATTTCTAAAGTTTAGAGTCTGTCGCAAAATGTCTCAGTATCCGCGTTTTCCATCCGGAAGTGATGAAGCTGTTGAAAAATTGCGATTGCGACAAGTATTTCATGATAAAAAGGAAAAACGATTTAATTAAAGGGCTGCCAGTGTCACGTACGTCCAATAATTAACGACTAATAACTTTCGGCTTGTCGCCTCCTACATGATGAACGATCGCTCGTTCGAATATTTTTAAAAATGTTATTCTCCAAGTTACATGTTGAAAAAAGTATTATCCTATATATTGGGTTGTCCGGAAAGTTCGTGCCGATGTTGAAGGAAAATTGAAAGAAAATTTTAATTTTAATATACATTTATTAAATTATATAGGTTAATCGGCACGAACTTTCCGGACAATCCAATATAAGATAATATTTTATTTTTTACAATTAAATTGAAAACTTTTTTTTCTTACAATCTTCCTCTCTCTCTCTCTTTCTGCCGAATCTCTAAAATAATATCTTCATCAAAATTATGCAAATTTTTAAGTATTACTGATAGAGATTACTATGAATGTGAAATTGCTCATTACATGATTAGCGGCCATACGATTAATTAGCTAATTATAGCGAGATTAAATTTGAATTTCATTCATTTATGCATAGACGATATGAGTTTCGCTTTGAGAAGTTCATTACGTAAGCATTGAATTGTTATAAAAACTGAGTAATATTGTTATTTATTTAACATAATTTGTAAGTTTGAATGCTTTTATCTCTACCCTGCGTACGCGCACATGTTTTATTTTTACCGTGAAGTAATATATGATCTGTTTGATTCTCACATCGCAATATTCTGTGTATATTACTTGCTATTTTTTAATCTATATGTATATTCAGCAAAGGAATGTAGGATAATGGTACGCAGCGGGTAATCGTACGCATTTTGGCTTCGCACTTTTCCGCTATATACTGGCCGCTACCGCGTTAAAATTTCTAAGCTAGAGGTAATTCTTTT